AAAACAGCAGAACATTAACAGGGGCCAACGAGGGACACGAGTGCACCCCAGAAAACAGGTTGCATCCAGAAACCATCCCCACACTGTGCCCTGCACACCCCACGCAGCACCAATTCCCCTTTTTCCAGTGCAGTCTGCACTGCTGCCGGCTCAACACAACACAACGTCAGATTTATTCCAGCTTGGAGACCTTTGGGCGGCCTCCCCTGCAGATCACACACTGCAGCCTCAGCACAGAGGTTGGGGAGGGGAACGGAGGTTCTGTGCCCTCCTACACCGAGCAGTGCCAAGGCTGGAGGAAGTGAGTCAGGCTGGGGTGGGGGCTGTGGAGCTGGAGGACCCCCCCCCCGAGCAGCGGCTGGGCTCTGCTTAGGGATCAGTTCCTGTTTGTGTCCCAACTGAATCATTCCCAGCAGCTGTCGCCGTGCCTGCTGCACTCCTCATGTGCTTTCCATTAGCTGAAAAAACAAGCTGGGCTGCTCCCCAGTGCGTGGGGCTTGCTTGGAGGGGGGGGGAGCTGGGACAGCTGCTGTGCTGCTCCCCTTGCACCAGGCACTGCCAGCCCCAGGTCACCGTGCAGAGCACAGCCCTGCCTGCTGCCCCAAACACATCTCCTGTGGCTGGATGACAGCCCATAATGTGCTGGGAGAAAAGGGGCTGTGGGTGTGCAAAGCGTGGCCATGGACTGAAAGGGCACAAAGAAAACGGTTCAGGCTTTGGTCCCCTCCAGCGTGGGTCACTTCCCTATGGGAAAAATGCTACGGCTGTGCTTTCCATCCTCAGCCAAAAATAATCAGCGAGCTGCGGGGGGCAGAGGGCCTGGGGGGGGGAGGGATTTCTCTTCTCAGGCTGCAGCTCATAATGAGAAATGCATTCCTTCCCTCCCCACCTCTTCCTAAAGCCGGCTCCAGGAGACACGCAGTGTGGAGCCCAGCCCAGCACTGCTCTGCTTCTCCTACAGACAGACAGTCTGCAAGCTAAAATAGGATGCTGGAGCCTTCATCCCATTGCTGCTCTCATTCCGGCCCCGTCGCACGTCGTAAATGAAAGACCCACAGGTATGGAGATGGAGGAAAGGGATGCTGTGCCACCAGCAAGGTGGGACCTGGACCCTCCTGACACCACAGAGTGCCAAACAAAATGCAAGCCCGTGTTACGGAGCAGCTGATGCATGCAGGTAGCAGCACATCACAGCTTCCAGCTTCTCCTCTCCAGGAGGCACTGCTGGGCTGCTCCAGCACAGCACCACTGCTTTCCCTGCAGTCCCACTGTGTTTCCAACCATCACACCTCCCAGCCAGCAGCTCAGCCTCTCTCCAGAGGATGCTCAGCTCAGAAGAAAACGCAGGTCAGAATAACCTTTTGCCCTAAGCTCCTCAGCATCTCCCCGTCCATGTCATTAGCTGCAGGGCTGCAGGATGCCAGGCTAATTGCCGTGCCTTTCAGGCAGCGGCGGTGCCAGGGATCGAACTGCTGTCCCTGGGGAGCAGCAGCAGAGCAGCACAGCCCTTCCTTAGCAGCAGAATTTCTCCATTTCCTTGGCTTCAAACCGTGCCTCTGTTCTACCCGCTCTCTGCTGCGGCTCCAGCCGTGACTTCTAGGGAAGCCCAGCTGCCTCAGCAGGTCCGGGCTCGTTAATGAGCAATTAGCTCCTAGCCTAATTGGGCAGCAGAATGGCTAATGAGCCCAGCCACGGTTGTCTGTGCCCTCATTATCCTGCGCTCAGCCAGTGGTAATACTGAGCTTCTGTCCCATTTCCGTCATGCCACGATCAGAGCAGCGCCTGGAAGCTCAGACGTGCCGGCGTTCGTTGCTCTGGGTGTCTTTGCTGCTTCCTGCTGCAGTCCTGGAGCAGCTCCTCACCACCCCTCGGCCCTTTGCTCCTCCACCCAGCAGGTCCTGCAGCTCTTTTGGTGTTACTTCTATTTGCAATAAACAGACATTAAGCATTTGCATCTGTGTAAGTACAGGTGGACACGTGCACGCACACCGCTGACACTGAATTCCTGCCTAAGGAACACGTGTGCACAATCACAGTGCAATGCACAACACCAACGTGCCCCGCTCCAGCACATGCCAGCAAGGAGGGCCACCACCTTCCCAAGCTGCCAGGTTTTGGATGATCCAACTCTCATCACCACGCTGCCAAACGCTCCATCACACCGCCTGCTGCTGCACTGAGCTGCTCTCCTTCTGGGATTGATGATTCCATCTTCCTGCTGCTCTCGATAAGGCTTTCCAATGGCTGCTGATGGTTTGAAACGTGGCCCTTCCTGCCTCCAGGGTACCTTCTTAGATTAAATTATCTCAACACATCACACCCACTTTTTTAGTCGCTTCGCTGCCTTCCTGTTAAGAACCAAAATGAGTTTTCAACTGCTCTTTTGCCCTCGGAAGACTCGTGTGACCTTGCTTTGCCCCACCTAGCGGCTCTCCTTTTAGGTGCTCCATGGAATCAGTCTGTACGAGGGCTCCCATCGCCTCCAAGACTGCAAGACTGTCACACCTCCACGTGAAATTTACTTTCAGCCAACCCCGCCTTTTGGAACATCCTCACATCTTTCTTTGCCAGTGGGAAAAGAGAAGCGTAGCGATGTGCACGGCACTGATAGCAGCCCAAGGTTCCACCAGGCACTCAGCAAGCACAGCACAGTGCGTGCCTCCAAGTTTCTCCTCTTATTGTGGGCTCCCCTTTCTTCGAAAGCTTTTGTGCAGCCCTTTTGTCCCTCCTGGCTCCCCAGCTCCTCTAGTTTATATTTTATTTATCGCATCCCAGTGCTCACAAGTGAGCTCCTTCCCCAGTGGCTGCTAATTGGAATGGGTGCCTTTCCAGAGCTCGTGTGCACGTGGATGCAGACAGAACACAGACATTGCAATTCACAGCAAGCACTCAGCATCCACACAGACTGCCCAAAGACGCCACCCCAATGGATGCATTTTACCCCACGAGTCCAGGTGTCAGCGAGCAGAATTAACATCACGTTTAACCTAGCAAACTCAGTCTCTAAGCAGAATTAACCCTGCAGAAGGTGAGGACAGGCTGCCCAGCCCCACGCAGCATCACAGGAGAGGCAACTCAAAGCAGGCCCTGCTAAGCACACGTGAATTTCCTCCCCCCATTCCAACACTGACTGCAAACGTCGGCGCTCAGCTCCCCAGGAAAAGCTCCAAGCAGTTGCAGCAGCACTCCCAGCCCTGGGGACACAGCCTGCAGAGAACCCAGCACCAAACACCAGCAAAATGAGCACCAAGCAGGGCAACCAACTGGGACAAAAAAGCTTAGATTCACTGCTTAGATTCAACATCAAGACCGGACCCAATGCACATTCTGCTGGCAGGTTTGCACGCTCAAGTGGCACCGTGCACCAATTCAGCACACACATACCTACACTCACTGCATTCACAGACACCACAGGTGCTGGTGGTTCCCTCTGCATCACCCACATCTGCTCCATGCTCCAGCACAGTGCTCTCTGCAGCACTGCCAAAACACAGCTGGTATTCCCAGCACTGACAAGCCTCTGCTCCAACCCCCAAGAGTCTGCCACCGATAATTAGAGATATTGTAAAACACAGCTAATTACAACCCTCATTAATTTACTTTAAACCGTTCTTTCTGACCGACTGCTGGGAGACCCCCAGCTCCTCCTGAAAACAGCCCATGGGTGGAGAGGGCTGCAGTCCTTTCCTGAGCATCTGCTGCCATCAGGTGGAGAACATCACCCTGACACCCACGGCTGGGTAACAGGAACCAGGATTTAGGGCAAGTCAGCCTCTTTCCCTCTGTTTTATCCACAGGGAGAGCAGAATGTGGCTGGGATGCGTGGCAGAATCAAACAGAACCTGCATGGATTGGGGAAACCACTGACCCAAGCCCTGTGCACGTCAAGGGGCTCCTAGGGATGCTTGGGGCCACGGAATGCTCCTCTCTCCAGTGGGCTCTGTACAAGGAGGTCACCCAAAACCAAATCCAAGAGCCTGAGCTGTGCCCACCCCACACTGCAGCCTCACACCATTTTCCCCTTCTTCTATTTCTCGTTCCAGCAGAGGCACCAGCTTGCAAAACAAACGTGGCCCTATTACCCCAGAACAACACGTTTGCAATAAGCATATAAAAGACCATTTCTTGATGGGGATGAATTGATTGGGAGCATTAACTTGTAGCCACTTCTGACAGGCAGCCCGAGGCAGGGAACCAACATTTACATTTAGATGAAGGTGTTCCCAACAGCTCCTGCCTCCAGGTTTGTCTCCAGAAGGAACGAATGAAACCAGGAGCTCTGCTGTAAGCAGCACAGAAGGACAACAAAGGAAAACAGCCCTGTGAGCATCACTGCGAGCTCTGGAGTCACAGCATCTGCAGCAAAGCAACGCCCAGCAGCGACACAAAAGCACCCAGCACCAACTGCTCGATGCCCCATTGGGTACAGCAGGGTTTGATGTGCAGGCTGAGAATGGTTGGCAATGCACGGACTCAGTGCTGCTGCAGAGCACCAACATCCCCCATCAGTGACCAACAGCAGGCAGCAGTGCTGGCATTGAGAGGCTCCTTCACGCCAGCACTATGCAATGCTTACATGAATAAAAGCAACAGATGCAAGAATAACCAATGCAGTTATGCTTTACTGTCAGAAAGGAACACATATCCTGCCATCAGCCAGCTTCAGCCCAGTTTCCACTTGGAAACCGAACCACCAAACAGGGAAGAAAAGGAATTATTTCCACCTGGGTAATCAATACCACCTGCAATAGAACTCAGAGCAGGGCAGCTCTCAATGCAGCAGCTTGATGGATGGATGGAGGGCAGAAAAAGGCAAATATCACGAAGCTGCGGCTGCACAATCTGATGGCAAGCATTCAGTAGCACCAGGCCACGAGCATTTGACTCCCTGACCTCTACTTGCCTGCACTCTGCCATGAAGTTTCATTCAATCGATCTGCAGTGGCAGACCTGCATCTCACACACCGGATTCGTGCCCCCCCCCCCCCGCCATTGCACACCTGTTGGCGCTGCACGAACGGGGCTGTCCGTGGGGGTCCATCGCAGCACTGAAGGACACTGGGGGACGCTGCCCGGTGCCGCATTCCCCTCTACAAGCATGCAACACGCCGAGGTTTCCTCCCAGCCCGGCGGTCCGCATGGCAGCTGGGCACGGCTCCGGCCGGCCGCGCACTCTAGAACGTTCCAGGACCTCCGCAGAGCGGCCGCCAGGTGGCGCTCGCGAGCGCTTCCGCGCGCTGATTCCCATCCGTACCGCCAGGTGGCGCTCGTGAGAGCACAACGCCTGGTAGTTCCCGCCCGTGCCGCCAGGTGGCGCTGCTGAGAGCACCACGCCTGGTAACTCCCACCTCTGCCGCCAGGTGGCGCTGCGAGTGCACAACGTTCGGTAATTCCTGCCCCCGCCGCCAGGTGACGCTGCTGAGAGCACAACGTCTGGTAATTCCTGCCCCTGCCGCCAGGTGGCGCTGCTGAGCGGCTCGCTCCCGCTGCTGCTTCCCGGCTGCTCCTCCCAACGCAACGCCCCGCAGCATTCACTTCACTGGCACAAAGTAACGCCTCTTAGAAAGCAAGAGGCACAAAAATACTCCGTTCCTTGTGTATATATTGCGTACCATTAACCCAACGTGAAGGCTACGCGTCCTCGTGACTCATCAGGCCCGGCTTTCCGTTCTGTATCTTCCAACACCTTTGTTTCACATGCAAAATGAAAGGGAGGTGACAGCATGCAGCCTTCTCCACTCTGTGAATGAGAGCAGAACCGAAGGACCATCCTGGTTTTCTGCTCTTTACCACCTGGTGCAGCTTCTTTACCACCTGGAGAGCTTCTTGCACACCCTTTCCTTTACCCCCCTGTGCTCACAATGCATTCACACTGCAGACAGAAACTCGCTGAGCTCACACCAGCCCAGCATCCCTCCTACATCCATTCCTTCCAATCTGCCTTCCCAACTCACGGCTGCAGGGCACACAGCAGCCCAGGGCAGGCATTGAGCTGCAGAGCTGGACGTGGTGCTGCTGTCTGTGCTGTGTGTTAGAAACAAAATCATCTCCGAGGAGGAAAAAGTCAAGCAAAGAAAAGAGGTGAGATGAGCTTTGAAACAGCAAGAACGGCCGTCCCGCATTTCTCTGGATGGAAACAGTCTTCTCCTACCCACAGCAATCAACAGACACATCTGCTTGCAGGCAGAACCTGGCTGCTGTAGTGTAGCTTGGTTTTATTTATGTCCACAAATATTTCAAAAAAATTACAAAATACTCAAATGGAGAGAACACAGAAGTCACGATTTCTGGGTTTCTACTCTGTTTACACTGTGTTATCCCATGGCAAACTACTCATATATACATTAAGCTTCAAGATATATATAAATGTAGCAGTCAGAATGTACACTCTGCTGTAACGGTGCAGTGAAACAAGCTCAACCATGACGACACAGAACAAGAGAGACTTCTCAAAAACACAAAAGCAAAATTGAAAACTTAAAACTTTCAAAACTGAGGAAAAACAAAAGAGAGATTTCTGAAAGAAAACCAGGTCTGGGTTGTTTGAACGGGGCATCCAACACCAGGATGGCTTCAAATGCCACTGCAGAGTAAAGCTGTAGTTAATCACAGGTCTAAAATGGAAGCTTCAGTGCTTTTTTGGTGAATGATGCAAACAAAAAACCCCACAAAATGTTGGTGTTGATCTAAAAAAAGCTAAAAGCAGAAGGTAAAAATGCTACTCAGAAGAAAGGAGTAATTCACTTTCGGATGCCAGCACAGCAGTGCCCAAAGGAAGCCCACCATGCTGGGTGCCACACTGACCTCACAGCCTCCACATGCCAACACTGGCTGCTCCTGCTTACACCTTCAGAGCTCGTGCACAGGGCATGGAACTGATTAAATGCTACTGCAGTTCCTTAGCATTGCGAGATCTGCAACAGAGGACACAAGAGGTCAGCAGCTGAAATCACCCTCGTCTCCCTCCCTTATATTCTTGCTGATGCAAGGTTTCAGTTTGTCACTGGGTTGTTGCAGGACGCCTTTGGGCACTGCTGCTGACGTCGGTTTGAGTGGTGATGAAGCACTGTGCACACCTTCCATCACAGCGTGTCATTAACCACAGCTTCAGCACACGTGGCTCAGTACAGTCCTATGACACAACCATCACATTTATAACAGTCTACAACGGCAGAGAGAGAGTGCTCACGAGTTGAGAGAGGAAATGGGGAAGCAGATGGCCAGCAGATTCAGATGTCCATTGGCTGCACCACCCTCTGCCCTGGCAAAAAAAAGAAAGAGAACAACCGAAAAACCAAACCAACCAAACATATGGAACAGTAAGAACACATAAAACCTCTCTGCCCAGGCAGTAAGCAGAGCTGTCTCTAAAATAATGCTCCCTGGCCTCCTGCGTGCCCCTCTCCTCTTCCCACCCACATGGGAACCAGCCAACAGGAGTTCTGCACGGACCTGTTGTGTTGGAGGCAGTAAATATTACTGTCCATGTATTATCTGAAGCCCAAAGCAGTTAAGTTCCTGAGATACAGAACGTTTGTGGCAGTTAAAAAGTTTTTGCTTATAAAAACAGAATTCAAACAGTCCAAAGGAAATGCAGACTGCTCTTTGCAAAACAGCTTTAAGAACACTGAGTTGTCCAGTCCTCCTTTCTTAAAAATGCATCGAACACATGAGGCCAGGGAGAGCAAACCTCCAAAAATATGCACGGTATGAAGTTCTGGCTGTACTACTTTGAGCCATGGAGCATTTCAAAATAGAGATTTTAGACCAGGTTATTTCTTTGAACTCTTAGTTATCCTATGAGGGATAAGCCTAAAACAAATGTAGTTAGATTTAGGTTCCGAAAGGTAAAAGGAAAGAGGTGTATGATGGCCATGCTGAAGACAAACCCCTGAAGTAGGGTAAGTGAGCTCCAAGGGACACCTGCACTGCTGAGAAACCCAACTCAACAGAAATCAGCTGCAGAAACAGAGATGTAACACTAACAGAAGAAACAAAAAACCAAGAACAGTCATTTGCAACATTATCCCTGCATCTCCCTTTAATGCTTATTGTTGATAACAAGCCAAATTTCAAGCTTTTACCCATTTGAAATTATTGATACCCATTGTTCCCTTTAATTAAAGGGATAACTATATATATTTTTTTTTTATTAAAAAATCAACTCTGTATTCTGTCAATACCAGGTAGGAATTCACAACGTGTGATGTTACTGAAAATCAACATAAACGTTTCTGGAGTTTCGTTTTGTTTCGTTTCTCCCCTCTACCCAAAAAAGTTATTTACAGACTTAAAAAGCCATGCTGCAGAACTGAGCTCTCTTGAAAATTATGAAGATTTCCTACAATGTATTAAAATAAAAGTAGATTTTTTTATTATTATTATAGCACTTGGATTCAGAGCTTGTTATGTCACCTACTTGCAATCCTTGTTTTTTTTTTTTTTTTGAAGTAGCTATAGATGCACTGAGTGTCTCTTCACGCACAGTGACTTGTGTTGTGAACCCAATCCTAGCACCTACTCAAAACAAACTAGTAAGGAAAGAAAAAAAAAAAAACCCAAGGTTGCAGGATGTTCTCTGAATATTCCACACAGTCCTGTATTTTCAATAGGCTTCTGAATACGTTGTCATGCAGGGAGACCCACACCAGTCTTGAGAAATCTTCTCTACAAATGAACGCTATGCTGATAAGTCTCTACTTGTTGGGTGGTTGTTTCTGTTTTAAATATATAAAGAAATCTTTATAAGATATTCTTTTCCTTTTGTAGCTCTTATTGTATGTAAAAATGTTCCACTCCTTCCCAAGGACTGGGGTTTCCATAGCCAGCATTACAAATAAATAATTTATTACAACTGTTTGTCGCCTTCTTTCTTCAGCCGACTGAAAAAGAAAGAAAACTCATTTTAACAAACCAAGGAGGTGTCATGACACTTCAGTGACAGCATGCCTTCCTGCCAACCTCACCTGGGCGCCCTGAAGGGAACAGAGGCTGCAGGATGGGCTTCTGAGCTCTCAGCACTAAATGAGGACCGCTGTAACAGCAGCGATAACAGCGTCTGCTGTGGGAGGAAGCGATGACCTTTCGCTCCTCACAAGTGTGTGAGATCACTCGTGCCAGCTCATCAAGCTCCAGCTTGATCTGCAGTTGCAAGTGAAATGTCACTCAGCTCCAGGCAGAGCGGCTGCCCTCGTGGCATAAGGCCAGCGGGTGATTTTGGATAGCAGGAGCAAGTACAGAAACATCAGAGTGAAGCAGTGCGAGGCAGGTATTTAATATGCTGCTTCCTACACAGCTTTGCTACCTGCAGGCACGTGGAATGACCTTTGCTAGGTGCTGAAGGCTGCTGCTTCTTAGCTGACATATCGTTCAGTAGCCGTTGCCCAAGAGGAAATAAGGTGCTGTGAGGCCAGGCAGGCTGAGAAGAGAACCACTCCACTACCAACACCCTACAGCAGTGTGGGGAGAAAGGGCTCGCACAGTTCGCCTGGGCTCTCCCAAATGTTAACTCAGGACTGACATTACTCACACACCCCATCTCCTTTTCCCTTTAGTCATTTCTTCAGATTCACTGATTTATGGAACTCCTTATCGCTCCTTGTTCATAAAGCTCTCACCCACCTTCCTCTTCCACTGCTCTCAAGGAAGACAAAGCAATGCAGAAGCAGCAGTTGTAACAACAATCACACTGAAAAGCCCAGATGGAGGTAACCCTGCAATGCATGACTCAACTCACTCAAGCCTCGTGCCAACAATGCGGGCCCTATCATCAATGCCCTAATTAGGTCTAAGGGCCCTAATTAGGTCTAAGGGCCCTAATTAGGTTTAAGGGCAGCTTCACCAACCTCTCTAAGTGCATCAGGCCAATATCTCAGTACAGAAGAAGAAAGGCATCCGTTCACAAGAAAAAACAGTTGGAACACAGAGAAAGATGAAGGAACCTCTGAGTCTGCCCCTGTGGCACCTCTCACCTGTAATAATCTTCCTGACTTGGTAGATGACCACCATGCATGTGAGGATGCCCGTGCAACCACTGCTGCTCCATTGCCAGTCTCTGCAGCTCTGCTGACTGTGCATGCATGGCCTGCAGCTGGTGGGCTGCGGACATCGGAGGTGGAATGGCACCAGGCAGATCCCGAGGGTAAGGGGTACCTACAACACAGAGTTGTGCACTTGTACACTCTTTTGCTATGAGGTCTGCACAGAGCTGCCTCACAAAGCCTTTTTTTTGTTTTTCTTTTTTAACCTCCCCTAAAACGGAGACCAGCAAACAAAACAAGGCAAATAAAAACCGACTTCAGTTGTAACTGAAGTTACAGCTCAACCCCAGTGCCACACCTCCCAGGAAACGCTCCGAGCCAGAAGAAAAGCTGACAGCTCAGATCAAAGGGCAGCCTCCAACAAGGACCATAAAATGCTCTCACCAAAGACTGGATGTCGGAGCATTTCATGCTCATGAGGTGGCTGTCCTAGCAATGGGTTGGGGATGGTCCCAGGTGGGTAGGGGAAACGTGCCAAATGGGGTCCAGCTGCTAACGGATCCACCAGCGGGTGAACAGGTCCTGCTGAACCTTTAGAAGAAGGAAAGAAAGAAAGCAATCAACTGCTTGGGGAAGCATCACTCACTGCTGGGAGATCAAAAGCCCTGTTACCACTTGAGCTGGATCGGCATTTGGCCTAATTGGCGTGTAATTACCGGGAGCTTAGCTCCATCCAATTTGAAACCCACTTTTCTATCTTGAAGTGTTTGAAGTGACATCTGCTTGCCAAACAGTCTTAATTGTTAAAGCAACAACTCGAGGCTTTCAATTTCTACAAGAACAAGAAATCCACCAAGTGACAAAAAATAAAGTAACAAAACCACCCAAGCTTTCCTTCCATCATCCCCCCGTGCACTGCAGCACAGCCTGCTTGCTGACCAGCCCTGCTCAGACCAGTGCAGGTGAACTGAGAAAGTGAAATCTGTTCAATCCCGAGAACTTAAAAAAAACATCTGCTCTTACCTTTATTTGGTATTGCAATTTCTCTCCCCTGTATGTATACATAGTTACATACTTAAATTGCTTATATAATTACCTTTCCCCCAGTTCAGAGGGCACTGCTATTTAGCAAACACCTTAAGCTGCCTGTCTCTGAACACCATAAACCTGCTCTTCAGTCCCTACTCCTCAGCCACTTGTTCCACCTTCCACTGCTCTGCTCCAGAACAAATAACAGGACAGTACCCAGACTTACCTGCACAGAGGTTGAACGACTTACCTGACAACAGCATCCTTGCACAGACACCATCTATGACAATTTTCTTCTGCTATCAAGAGGCTATCAAAAACCTGCCTGAAACTGAGCCAGCCCATAATTTGTGCATTCTCAAGCAATGTTCACAGCTTTAGAAATGCTGACCCTCAGTGCTATCATCTCCTACCTGAAACACTCTCACCGCTTAATCTCACAAGACACTGCTGATTTCTTGCTACACAAATTGGCTTCTGCAACAGCATTCAAATTCTTCCCCTACTCAAAAAGAAGGGAAGGAAGCCATGTTTAATGCATATGCTCCAAGGCAAAGTATGCTATATTTGCTTGCACAAACAGTACATTTGTTCCCAGAAGCACCAGGAGCTGCACTGTCAGTACTTGGACTTCTCTCATTTTCCTTTCTTGGCTGCTCCTGCACCTGGTGCCCTGCTTGCAATGTTCTCTCTGGTCTACTACCAGAAAAATTCTGCTTAGTGCCAGACTCACGACACCTCAGAGGAGCAACTGTGTGGCTTACTTTAGAAATGAACAAGGCACCAATTCATTTTGACACTCCTGAATACCTTGGGAAAAACTTTTCCATATGTAAGAATACACTGTAACTAGAAAGATGCCAACCCATCAATTTAGGTCTTTCTTAGGAGAGTTGTGGCAGGGAACTTCAGCTCAACTAAAGCCATGACAAATGGCTAAAGAGATCAAGTTCTCCTTGCTGCTGTCTTAAAAGCTCTTAAATACATCTCACATGACAGTGCAGAGTCTAAATGGTATCACTGGAACAGGTTGCCCAAGGAGGCTGTGGATGCCCCATCCCTGCAGGCATTCAAGGCCAGGCTGGATGTGGCTCTGGGCAGCTGTTTGGCGACCCTGCACACAGCAGGGTGGTTGAAACTGGATGATCATTGTGGCCTTTTTCAACCCAGCCCACTCTATAATTCTATGATCACTGTACTGTTACTAGCATTTATTACTGCCCTGCAGCCTTTCATTATAAAATAATGCTTTGCTTTTCAGATATCGCAATCTTATACTGCCCAAAAGCCGCAGTTACATACAGGAAAACAAAGGGCTGCTGGCAGTGCCTGTTTCAGGCAGAGGTCCCAAGCAAACTGCTCAGCCAGCTCCAGGGCTCACCTTGATGGAGGGGATCCTGCTGATGTAGGTGTAAATGCGAATGTATGTGCGAATGTTGGTGATGGTGAGGCGTGACGTTGAACATCTGGAGCCGTGCCAACGGGTCGTTTGTCAGTGATGCCATCCGCTCCGCGTGTATTCTCTCAGCTGCCAGTCTGTCAGGGTAGCTCATTTCAGGCCGTAACTGCGGGCCTGCCAGTGCGAGTCTCTCTCTTTCGAGCGGGTTTAAACCCGGGTGGAAGGAAGCAAACGGGTGAGGTCCTGCCGTTGGGGGAATAGTCAGTGCGCCGTGCCTGGCAAAATGCTCCATGGGGTTGGTGGCCGGGTGCAGCGCATCGAGCTCCGGGGGCTTCACCTCGAAGCCAGGTTTCATCCTCTCTCTCAGCTCCCTCTCCCGGATTTCTCGCTCCCGGATCTCCCTCTCCCTCAGCTCTCGTTCCCGGATGGTGGGATCCACGTTGTAGAGGCCGGGCATGTGGTAGGCCAGGAGCGGGTCGGTGGGGTTCAGGGGGACGAAGAAGGGATGGTTACGGTTTGTTGGAGACATGACGTGAGGACGGGCGTACTCGCTCAGCGTTCGTAGAGCAGGTGTGTCTGGGCCAATGTAAGGAGGGACGGCAGCGATGGTCGTTGGTGGGGGTTCAAAGGAAGGTCTCATGTGTGCTGGCCCGCTGAGCTGCGACTCTCCCAGGCGGCCCTCGTGGGAGGAGCTGGATACCTTCTGCTGCACAAATGGGGGAAGAGATGTTTAAGTTCAACTCGTTTGGCTTACCATGCATTTCCCTCCTTGTGCTTCAAGTAACGCACTAAAAACCTCCCCGTTCTATGGGCCCAAAGGTCATCGCTCCTTTCCAACAGGCAAAACAAAGCAAAGAATTAACTGTGCTGATTTCCTACAGTCAGACCGGAGTTTGGGTCTTCCCGTCATAAAAAAGAAAGAAGTTGTGTGTCTTTAATCAAGGTGCCTTCAGATTTAAAGCCCTCGTATCCCTTTTTCAGCAGACAATGATTTTGTGCCTGCACTGCAAAGGTAGTGGAAGTGACGCAAAATAATTCATTGTATCTACACCTACAGAGTGTTTTCCACATCTGAGCTTCTATTGCAAGTAATGTAAACACTTGGCCCAGTTATCCCCAGCTGCACTGGCTTCCCACACACAGCTATAGGCTGGGAATAGAAACTCTCCACTTCCTTTAGAGAAGAAAGTGACAGGCAGGCTGGGAATGCCCAGAGCAGGTTGGCATCCACTTAACACACAGCTCCCATATTCACAGATACCTGGTTGCACGTGTATTTAGGCACCTGTGGGGACGTGCACTTTGCAGTCACTATCCATGTCAACCCTCCTAAGCAGCTTTTAGCTACAAATAAACCTACCGCAGCTCTTTCTGCTTCTCTCTCACGCTCACGTTCTCTCTCTCTTTCCTTCTCTTTTTCTTTCTCTCTCTCCCTCTCTTCTCTGGCTTTCTGCTCCGCTTCCCTTTTGGCCTTTTCAATGGCCTCTTCTCTCTTCTTGGCCAGTTTGGATCCTGCCAGAGGCATGAAGTACAAATCTGCTCTTGAGCACGAATTGTAGCCACGGTCCAGGTGCTTATAGAACCTGAGGGAAACAAAACAGAAAGAGGTCAGCTCTGGGAAGGTAGAAGTCTGAAGTTCAAGAGCTGTATGTCAGGAAGGAAAAGTTATCACTGTACACTTACAACAGCACTACCTGCTTCCCTGAAAGGGAATGAAAGGAATTGATTGTGCCATGAGACAACACAGACAAGCAAAGCACAATACCCACTCACAAGTACAACCTCTAATACCCTGTCTGAAGAAGCACCTTTACAGAGAAAAAACAGCAAAGCCCTGATTAAAACAAGGGCTGACAAGATGCACGTGTAAAACACATTCACATCTCACTGAAGCTGATTTCCCACACGCATTCAGAAGCCTTCTTCCACAGTGTAAGGAGCCAGCGTTTCAGCTGACTTCAATAAAAACTGATCTGCCAACATAAGGACAACAATTATGAGAGAAAGGAGAACTCTACCATGCAACATTCTCACTTCAGCTCAGCAAGCCTTCCTGCAAGAACCAGACATGGGAAGCAAGAAGATTCACTTATCTCCCTTAGCTATCTTTGGGAAGGGTGGAAGGGAACAGAGTCACTGCTTAATGCAGGGTCTGTACATCAGCAGAGGGAAGTCCTTAACAAAATCTTTTCTTGACAAAAAGGAAAGCAATTCCACTGTAACAAGCAAGTGAGATGCAAGCTTTTGGGTCGTGCTAAAGAAGCGCACCTGCTGCCAACCTGCATACCTGGCAGACTGGCTGGCATGACTCGGTGTATCCACCACAGTTGGTTCTGGCGATGGACTCCGTGGTGGAGGCGGAGGGCTTTCTGGTTCCTCAGCCTCATCGGGAACCTCCTCTTTGATCTGGACAGGTGGCAGCGTGCAGGACGTCACCACCGGCACGCTCCCACTAGAAGCTGCTGACGTGGAGATGGAGGTCTGAAGCGGGATGCCGGGCACGGCAGGCGGCGTGGAAGTGGAAGGGCACGAAGGAGAGGTGATGGACGGTGGGGCTCCGGGGACAAAGGGATGCTGAGAAAAGGGGGGCTGCGAGGATACCTGGTGGAGTCCGGATGGGGGGTGAGGAGCAGATGGGGGAAGGCTCTGACTCTGGGTCAGGACGGGAGGCTGGGCTTGCGAAGACTGCAGCGGCTGGCTCTGGGGCATCAGCTGCAGGGGAGGAGGGTGTGCGGATGGAGGGTGGTGAGTGGAGAGGGAGCTCAAGGGTTTTAGAGCTGGTGGCGGGGGCAGATTGGAGTTCATCGAGAACGGAGAAGGGCCGGAGAGATGAGGAGGATGCTTGTGGGATGGAGGGGTGGGAAGCTGCGGGATGGGGGTGGTGGGGGGAGGCTTGATGTGAGGCATGGCCATGGGCGCGGGGGGCAGCGGCTGCTCCCGCGGAGGCTGGGCCTGCTGCAGCGGGGCTGCGGCTGGCAGGGAGGGCTGAGACACCTGCAGTGCAGAGTGGGAGTGAGACGGCGCTTGTGTCTGAAGGGGAACCTGAGACTGAGGAGACTGCGTGGGGAGCGAGAACGGCTGGGGGGGTACGGGATGAGGCAGCAGGGGCTGCGCCTGCAGGCTGTGCGGGGCAGGCTGGGGCTGAGCGTGCAGAGGAGGCTGCGAGTGGGGCTGCGATGAGGCTGGGGCGGGCTGGCTCTGCGATGCATTCAGAGGCTGCAGGGGTGGGTGAGGCGAAGGCAGTCTCTGTGGGTGCAAAGCAGGGGCTTGCTGGATGTGGGAATGAGGAGGAGGCGGCGCGGGGGCCTGGGGCTGGCTGGGGGCCTGGGATGCTGGTGGTGAAACCTGCGGCGGAGCTGCGGAAGCACTCGAGGCTGCCGGCAGCGGTGCTGGCAGCTGAGCTGGGATGGGGGGCATGGGAGGAGGTGCCTGGCCGGAGCTGCTGGGTGCCTGCAGCACTTGGGGCTGCGCCTGCAGCACTTGCTGCTGAGCAGATGAATCTGAGTCGCTCTCATTGTCTTGAGGGCTGGGGATGCTGGGTGACGTGCTCCGGTTATCCTGGTCGATGTCCTTGGGGTCGCTGCTCCCTTCGTCGTTGACGCTGCGGCTGTCAGAGCTCTCACCTTCACCCTCACCCTCCGAGGGAGAGTTTGGCCTGCTGATCTCCTGCAGGAGAAGGAGAGAGCAACCATTGTGTGTGAGGAACTGCATGCAGCGTGCCGTAGAGAATCACCGTGCACATGTGCTGGAGTGCCAGTACCACCCTCCAAATCTCATGAGACAAAGCAGCACGGGTGGTGCCACTACAGCATACCCAGTTTCAGGCCCCCCAGAACCAGAGATGGACACATGGGGAGAACCCAATGAAGGGCCCTGAGGCCAAGTGCAGGGCTGGAACAGATGCAAGGAGAGCTGAGGCTGCCCAGCTTGGAGAAGAGAAGGCTCAGCCCAGATACCATTAGATTACGACAACTCCAGTGTTGTTCTAACTTGTCAAAGAAAAGGGAAAGCCAAATTTCAATTAAAAAAAAAAATAACTGAGGCGTGTGTGTGGGGAAATAAACTAAGGATGTTCCTGCTATATTGCTTAAGTATAAAACAAACAAACAGACTGCTGAACTTACCCTATGTTGTTCCACTGCTTTCCAACAGACGGAACACATTATAATATGGGTTGCTTTCTAGCCACAGATTAAGTTAAAATTTGCTGTGGCCTAAATTGGTTTTGTGTTTTGGGTTTGTTAGTGGATTTGTGCTCCCTCCCACACTCAAACTGTTTCCAAAAATGAAAACGTTTCTCTGTGGGACTCACTTGAGTTTTGGATTTTTTGGCACTGGACCTTTCGGGCTCCTCTGTGTCAGACGCTGCCTTCTCCCGCTGCCTCTTGGAATTCTTCAGAGGAGAAGAAACCTCTTCTTTTATTTTCTGCCACAAACGAAGCAGAAGAGAACAGTTACCAGTGATGTAAACACAGAAGTAAATGAAACACAAGTCAGTGCTATCATGTTGAACACAAATAAATGAGAAGGGTTCCCGTGGAGCAGGAGAACTTATCACAAGTTGAGATCTCCAGTGTTTAACACCAAGCTAAGTCAGCATTTGCTCAACTTCTTATTTTTTCCTGTCTTACAGAAAGGGCATGGATGCAGCACTCCTGCTAAGAGCCTGAAATAATAAATACTTATTTTTAACTTGCTGCTTTTTAATTTACAGTGCTTAATGCAAGCTTCCTTGTTCATCTGCCTTTGTTTCGTCAGTGCTCTCTTGGAAAAGCACTTAGTGAAACAGGCTAAAGTGTCAGCCTGCTCTGAAAATCAAGCAAATTGCATACAGCAAAACAGTAAGGGAAGTAGTCTCAATTACTACACATTCATATTCCTTTATAAATAAAGATTAAGTACAGTTTAAGAAACCAAAACTGTCTACTTGTCTTGGATGCAGCATTTCTGATAGGTATTACTTCCATGAGCCTAACGCTTGCATTTGCATCTGAAAATGAAGGATTAGTTTATCACAAGAGCAGTAAGGTTATGTGGGGATACTTTAATGGCTTTTATCACATCTGTATGCCTGGGAATAATGCATCAGTGAGATGCATCATCAAATGTTTTGCACAGCTACACAAGTAGGAATTTCTGTGTCACTGAGATCCCCCAGCCCCCTCGAATCTGCATCTTATCAAGCTGATGGAAGAGGCTTCAGGTGCCCAGTTGTAACGCAAAAAAAAGATGGGGAGATTTTACCTTGGTGGACTTCTTCACTGAATCTGCTTTGCTGTCATTACTGGAGGTGCTGGCAGCACTGGGAGAGTTGCGGCCGCTGGAACGGATGTCTTCATTAATGGGTGAGGCTCTACCATCAGGGCTGGCTGGCTGCTTTTTACGACCACTACGTAGTGTAGACATCTATTTGTGTAACAGACATAAAAGTTTATCCGAGTCAGCATTTGTTCAACTGAATTTTTCCTGCCTTACAAAAAGGCCATGGACAGAGCATTCCTGCTTAGAGCTCCAAAGAAGAAATAAACAAGAATACTTAATTTTTTTTTTTTTATAATTCTTCCTTGAAAGTTCATCTCAGCTTAAAAGTGAGGCAAATACTTACTATGCCCACACCAAAACACTGAGCGTGGTGTCCCTTAAGTAATGTCTGCTAGAAATGAGAACATGATGCTCCCTCAGCTGCTATTGTCCACATGCTAAATTTTCTCCATAAAACATGCATACATGTTTTTAAGTGTGCATACACACACAGGGGGTGAGGTGGGTGGAGACCTACAGTTCCATTAAAAAAAATTATATATGTGTATGTATATATATACATGTCTGTGGGCATGCAAAACAATCGAGTCCAACTGCTGAAATCACTTACAGTTTCACAGTGCTGCTGCTATGCCATAAGGAAACACAGCAGAGTAGGTTCCAGTAATTACTGCTGTTTCCCTCTCAATACTCTTTTGTGCAGTACTCTTTTGGATGAGAGGCAAACAGGTGGGACAGAGGCAAAGAGGTGGGACAGAGGAATCGAGTCTCATTTTAGACCACCTAAGGCAACACCTCCCTTTTACAGAACAAGCAGAAATGTGAATGAACCAACAGCGTGAAGCCTACCGAGCCTCGACTCCTCCTTGTCCTCATGCTATGCTTTCCACTAAGTCCATCATCTTCCTCTTTGACAGGCTTAAACATAAAGGGTGGAGGGTCTACGGGCTTCTCAATGGGTGGCAGCTCTCCGTACTTTTTGAAGTGAATACGACAATCTGTGCACAGTAAGATGTTTTCTCGACCGCCGTGGTGCCAGTCCTTGGAGGCTGGGGGCAGAAAAAGCAACAGCTTAGAAATATGCAATCTGCTAGATGGTCAGATAAGTGTACTGCATTATTACAAAAACAGCAAAAAAATATATATATATATCCAACCCACCAGGAAATCCACATAACTATGGAAGTATCTGCTTTTCTATTTGCAGCTAATTGTGAAATCTCCACAAACTTTGCCCTGTTTTGAGCTTAATCTGCCTTCCAGTGCACAGCTTCTTCAATGTTCAATTTAAAAAATATTTGTTTACTTAAGCAAGCTGAGCTCTGAAAATAACAAAGAAGTCTCATCTGCTCTACCTGGGAAGTGACAGGCAACTATTATTCTCCAAAGCTGTGGTTTCTTAAAAGAGAAGTGAACCGTGCACTTCTCATTTCCTTCCCTTACCATGGGGCTCCCACCACGCCACGCATGCACCCAAATGCAGACAGCCTTTGTGTTGGTGCCCTATGAAGAAGTTTTGTATGAGACAGTTGCTGCTCAAAGTCCATTTGTTGAGCACAAGTGCATTACATCCAGAACTCTGTTTAGATTTGTAGATTTTACTGCATAGATGGTTACCTCCCAGGACTGTGTCTCAGCAATAGTAATTTGCAGCCATAAGTCATTACCAACTCTGCTCTGAGTGCTGCATGTTTTGGCTGATTCAACCCCACGCTTTCTGAACAGCTGTACACACACAAGCACATGCTTGGATGAACCTGTGTACAGAAGGCAGCAGCAGAGGGAGGGAAGCACAGCAAGAATCAGGCACGTACTGGTTGTGAAGCAGTGACGGCAGGCGTAGCCCTTCAGCTCCTGTTCACTGTCCTCACTGTCAAAGTCATCTTCGCTGGCCGAGCTCAAGTCCACTGAATAAGCAAAGAAAAAGAGGAGAAGAGGGAAAGAAAAAAACAAAAATTCAGCAGGATTTTCTGTTTCTGCCTACCTGGCTGCAATAACCACCAGCAATGATGGTTCTTGTTTAAATTCTGTGGCTTCCTATAACCACTGTGCCTTGGCTGTCCATCATATCAGATTCTGCAAACTAAAGACCTGACCTGGTGAATCTACAGATGAAAAAATAAAAAAAAAGCATTCCAGGAATGTACAAAGTGATCCAATTATCCAATTCACAGAAATTTTGGCTTTGTAGATGATACCTTTCCAATTAAGCTGTTGTTCACCACTGTGCTAGAAAGAGAGGCACTATTCCTACAGAACAATTTAGGAGAGAAAGGAGTTTTGTGGTCAAATTTAAAAGAGGATCCTATTAGCTTTCCAGTCCTTACTGTGAGGCTCCTTGAGTTGCAACCTGTAGCAACATTACATCTTAAGAATGTCCCATTTCAAAGAAGCAGAGAACACAGCCCCAGCCACTTTCCTTTGCTGCAAGCAGTATGTAACACATTATCTAACTATGATGCTGAGAGCTAAAAAGCACCACTTAAACCACAGAAAATCTGCAGACACCACAAACTTTACCCTTCCTTGTCTTCTAAAACAACTCTTGACCAAATCCTTCCTTGTTGAGAGCACTGCACTTTCCTAACCACTCACTATGAACTGACAGTGTAATGGATCCGTAAACTGTCACTAGCAGAAAACTCTGTTGAGGACATCACTGTGACGTGTGGCATCTTTTCTTCACATCTTTAATTAGAAAAGAAGCCTTTGATGCAAGAACACTGAATTTCTAAGGTTCTGGGAGGCTATTCTGTCATACATGCAGGTCACAGAGTGTTACAGCACTTGCCACTGGCACCTGCTATCAACTCATTGCTCTTCTAGCCAAAGCAGGGTCCTGTTTAACAACGGTAGCTGCTGGCACCACCACCATTTTTGCCTTAATTCTCATGGGTGTTTAAACCTCAGCTGCACAGCTAACATCAGGCTACAACTTTGTTTCTTTGAGTAAGCTGATTTTTACTCTCATCCTGCAGTCAGATCCACACCGAGCCTTTCAGCCACATGAACTCAGATGAGCTGCCTTGGACTGAGCTGTACAGCCAAGATCTGCACTTCTTGTGCACACAGGAATGGCCATAAATCCTATCAATCTCAGCACAGAGCAGCTAGCAGCCTTTGCTATCTCACTACTACTCTCCCCACAATTCTCTGTCCTTCCCTACTTAACATACTCTCTATTACCCCCATATTAATAACACTGTGTAAAATTCTGCCTTCCACACACTGCCTTTTCTTTAAAAGGCACACAAATCGTGCTGTGTTTAGTCCTCAGATGCCATCAGCCTTTGACAGAAACGTTTATAAATGCACAACCACATTACTAACCATAACCTCTAACGACACAGCACATCTCGCTGGTTTGGGCAATTATTCTTTCTTTAGACCCTTCTGCTTCAATCAAGGCCAAAGCACTTCTGTGATAAATGAAGACACAGGAGCACTGCCTGCAGCACCACATTGTGATAAAGCAGATGGAATGGTCACTGTGTAAGGATGAAAGGACTTCTCTCCTTTTGCATTTTCTCATTCCCATTACTGTAATAAGCCTGGAGAAAGTGCCACACGAAACCAAGACAATTCAGCAGCAGAGCAATGTTTCCATCCTAACACGATGCTTTTAACAACTACACACAGCACTGCTGATCAAAGATGCCTACCACATTCCAGCATAATGGTACAAGAACAGCAGAGGGCAGCTGCCTGAACTCCATTTCCTTGCCATATTCACTCGAAGGTACAGCACCACTATGTTACTGTCTCTCCACGCACCTAAACAAAGATAAATGCATTGCTTTCAGCTTCCACTTACAGAATTCGCTGGAGGGGGGCCTGGAGGGAGTGTTGACTGGAGTGGAAGCAGTTCGAGTTTTAATTCTCCGAAACACAGCCTGCCTTCGATGCCTACGGTGGGCTCGAGAACTTGCTGCTTCAGGGGTTTTCTTCCAATAGTAATAGAAGGTGATTAGTTCTCCCTGCAAATACAGAAGGAATATGTTAGAGGGGCAAGCAATTCTGACTTGTCAGCTTTTCTCCTCCCTCTTGCTCTATATACGTGCACACGTGTTTTTACAGGAAGCTTCACGATGCGTTTCAGCCAGAGAAAAGAATCCTTTGGATAGAACAGAAAAACCTTCAGTGAATGCCGTTTGCTGTTGGGGGGGGAAGGAGGCACAGAAGCAGCCAAGGGCCTTCTGCTGCCCTCCACCTCCCCTGGAACAGAGGGCTGAGGTCTCCAGATTGGAACTGCAGAGCCCCCAGGAGCCCCTGCTCTGCAGCTGCACAGCGCGTGGCTTTAATCTCCTTTCTCTTACTTTGAAAGCCCATCATTTCCTGGCCAACTTGTCTGCCTCCAAGGGAGAAGGTGCTGCTCCTTTCAAGTTGCAAGAGGAAACGGAGGAACTCTTAGCAGCCCCTTGGAAACTGGCATCAGTACCAACACATCTGGGCTGCCCACAGAGAGGGCTGAACTGCACTGTGTGCAACCAGACCCCATAACCCCAGCCTGCTCTCAGTGGGGCACATCACTCAATCTGAGGCTAATAAAGACACACCCTTAATCCAACCTCTCCCAAGGGCCTCAAACAAGCAATTACAGCCGTAACTAACATCTGCACCGCCGAAACACTTGTAAGACAAAAGGAGGATGTTGTTCTAGACATTAACCGCTGACATCTGAGACACTTGAAGGGTTTTATCCGTGCCTCATTCGAAAATAGAAACGCCAGGAAAAGAGCACAACCACGACTCTGGTTACTGGCAGAGGCAGCTGAGATGTGTTTCTGGAGGAACACAGAGCCCTGCTGCTTTGGCAGTGCCATTCCACCTCCTGAGCAGCACGCTCCATTTCTGCCCAGTGCTGCTTGCTGGGCTGGGGCACCAAGGGCACCACTGGCACCAGGAGGCACACAGGGCTCTGCAGAGAAGCGTGGGCAGTGCTGTTCTGCACACAAAGCCTCTTACAAACGATACCTATAAATTCATTGAGAGCAAACCTCAGGTGCCAGCACCAAGGAACAAGTCGGTAAATCGTCCGTCTGGATGTCGGTGAATTGACGTGTCCTCTGACATATGGCAACGGCAGGGTGGAATCCAATCTGTTTTCCTCCCATCATAAAAGAGGAAACGGGAACCTATTTGAGCTCTATTTACACACGGCGAACCCATCGGGTCCCAGGGGAAGTTTAACAACTCACGCCTGCACTACATCATAAAAAAAAGCTCGTTTAAGGAACGAAGAAATGGTGTGTACTTATGAAAAATACCATTTTTGTGATCACAGCACTTTCCTTTTCCCCGAGAACCTCTCAGAACTGCGCTCACAACGGCGCAGATAAAGCTGAAAGCAAAGTTTATTCAACAATGAACCGTGCCACCATTGCAATCCCTTTATCAGCCAGTGACTCAACTTCCCCACAGACAGCAGCAGAAGGCACAGGGGAAGCACAACCAGAAGATGCCAATGCTGCACGCACACACACTGCGCTGCAAAAATTCCACGCCAGATCTTATTAGCTGCCTGGCTATCCAATGCTGTATTGTCTACCTGGGGGATTAAAGCAGCCTGGAAGGATTAGAAGCAGCTCGCTGGGGCTGCACGGGTGGCAGCAGCTCAGCACAAAGGGAACCGTCGGGAAAGCCTCGGTTCTATCGACGGGAGGAAAACAGCTCCCAGCTTGGCTGCAAGAGAAGTCAAATGAACTTTAATCAAACATGCAGAGCGTGCGCTGCCGAACGCCGGCGCACATCAATTCAGGGAACAAAAGCTGTTGCAGAAATCAATAGCCTACTGAAACATTAACACAGGCGGGCATTGATCAAAAGGCCCGCTTACAAAAGGCAGCCTTGCAAATTAGCCCATGTTTTTGCTTGCAAGCAAACAGAGAAGCACAAACATGAATGGCCTGTAACAATCATTTTGTTGTGGTGCTCTCAGCTCACCTCACCATGAGGCCCTGCAGCCGCACATCGCCCTGCAGCTCAGCTTGCACCCATCCCACGAGCTGCCAGCAGCTCACCCTCTTCCCATCTCCTGCCAAGGCCATGCCGTGCCTCCCCACGCTGCAGGGAGGCAGAAAAAAGCCACGCTTCATATCCTTCTTCCTGAGTGCCAGGCTTTGAGTTTAAAGGGAAAGGAATGCTGCGGCCCCACTGGCCAGGAGGTTCCCAACAGCCTCCATCCTCCCCAGCACCACGCTGCCATCTATCAGCAATAAACCCCTCAGCCTTTCTCTTGCATCTCCCACCAGCCTCAGCTCCTGCAGCTCAGCCCACTTGTCCCAGCCACATTGCACAACCCCAGGGCAGCCCTTATTGCCTCCTCCCCACCTTGAACAAACTGCCAGCAGTGCAGCATGCCCTGCTCTCTCACTTATCACTGCTTTGCAAACGCACAGCACACAGTACAGGCTGTGCCCTGTGTTTGTGTTTAGTCTTGCCTTGGGTACACAAAGGCTCAGCCCTGCTGCAGCACCGCTCCCCGTCGCACAAATGCACCAACTTACCTTCAAGTATCTGTTGTGCTTTAACAGAGTGAGCAAACATCGTAATTGCTCTTTAATTTCCCCAGAGCTCAGCTCTGTCAGGAGAAAAAATATCAGGGGGGCAGCAAGGCTGTAATTAAACAGAAAAGGTAAACAGCAACTCCCCCAAACAGCCCTACCACCAGCCGCAGCGGAGCAGAGGGGAACAGACTGTCCAGCTGTGGTCTTAATGAATTCACACTGGGATGTCACTGAGCCACTTCAGCTAATGCTGCACCTCTCCTGGACTGAACAGCCCCAGCATCACCACCAGCATCGCCACCAGCCCCAGTGTTGCCCACCCGGGCACAAGGGCTGCACAACCATAGAGCTCAGCCCGGTCTGCGTGGCTCTGTCAGCTGTGACAAATAGGTTTGCATATGTTCTAATTAAGCAGTAAGTCTCTGCAGCCTGTTCAGGAGCACTGATTAATGCCTGCATCGGAATACTGCATCACCTAAAACATTACTGGAATGTTAAGAGAGGCTTTTAAAACCAAGCAATACCTTACTAATGCTACAAAAACCGAATTAAAAATCGCACAGTTCTTTCTAAGGAATGCAATGCAGGTCTCAGTGTATTTTGAGGGGCTCAGTATTTATCCAGCAGTTCCTCCAACCATTCATTATCTCCTGAACAGCTGCTCTCCTGCTCCCAACCCTCCCTGCCCTCATCGTGTCTCCTTGTCCTGCAAACAGCAAGGTAAGCTCCCTGGTTTCATTTTGTACCTCCTGGCAAAACCATCTGGCTGAGTGAGAAGCAAAAGAGGTTGGTATGTGAGACACCCAGGCTAAGCCTCTGGGATTTCATGCCAAATTGTCAATGCACCCCCAATACAGGAGCACTCACAGAGCTCCCTGGGAACCCAGCTGAGGCTCCATCTGTAGTTTTTGGGTTTTGATATGGAAAAACCTGCCATCCAATACAGCTTTGTGCTTTCTCAGTGCTTTTGTCAGCTGAGCACTTCTGCCCTGCTCAGCCCTCACAGACACAGCAAGAGCTTCCACCTCCCCCAAATCACACCTTTACAGAAGCAAAGTACAACCACAGTGACCCCCCTCAAGCCACAGAACAGCCCACTGGTGACAGCCAGGCTCTAAAATTCCTCCAGCCATCACCACCAGGCTTACTGGGCTGGGCTCATCCCTGCCAAGGGCAGCAGCTCCCCTTCTGCTCTCAATACTAGCTGCTTTTCTCTTGGGTCAGTATCCCTGTTTCATTCCTACCACTTGGCTGTAGGGTTACAGCAAATCACAGAGGAATCCAAATGTTATTGTGCACAGCCTGAAAGAACGTCTGTATCAGGGCTCAGTGCCACGCTTAACTGATGACTTCCACGCAGCCTATTTGCTAACTTTCTCCACTGTTTGCAATTAAGGTTGCAATATCCCAGCAGGAAATGAGATAACGAGCACGTCCCAGAAGGGACCCTTTGCTAACTTTTCTGGGTGAGCAGCTCTCGTTCCTTGTTTTTAGGGCTGGAAGCACCAGTTTGAGCAGCTCTGCACAACCAGCACAGAGCAAGGCACTGCTTTGTTCTGAGCCTCCGCCGCAGCTGGAAGCTGTTGACCCTCTCTCTCCAGCTGTATGTCATGCCAGAAGGAAAAGCAAGCTTTGTAATTACGGCTTCTTCCTCCAGAGACTCCTCTTTGTTAATCAGAGGCCCTGAGATCCCCAGGGGACTCGCAGGCTGCTGGCTGCATCCATGACTAATTATGAGATCCTCTCTAGATAGCGTCACAGCAGTTCCCCAGCACTGCCACCAGGTATGCCAGGCAGGGCTCTCTCTGGAGCTGGATCAATTAAGAGGTTATCAAAACAGCCCAAGAGTTAAGCACCTGCTCGCCTTACCCTCATCTGTTAAGGACTTGTTTTCCACTCACTGCCCCTTCGCAGCTTCTCTTACCCGAATTTCTGGGAACTCTCACTTGCCCCATCCCAGCAATGCACGATCCGAGGCGAAGGTGTTGGCTGTGGCTCACGTGGGTGCACACATGAGAGAGCAGGCGTGCATCAGCAAGCCATAAAGCTGTTAAAGCGACCGCACTCCATCCCGTAAACATCCTTCTATTTATCTGTCCTTCATTACATGCACAATCTTATTATCTCTGCACATCCTCAAAGCGACAGCCGTCAGGGTCACCCCATAAAATATACATCGGCAGCGTTACATTTAATGACTGGAGCGGGAAGAGAAATGAAGGGTGGGAGGGGAGGAGGACTGCGGCTGCTTTAAAGGGATCATCAGTTAGATCTGTGCATTTCCTGAGGTGATAATTGAATGACAGTGGCTGGAGGGGAATCCATTTTTGAGCTTAAGAAAAGACTGTTAAGAAAAAAATGTTTTTGTACAGCAGCACATAATGGCTGCCGGAAAATGAGAACGGTTCCCTCGACCACAGCAGCTCCTCTGCTTTATGGCTTTTATGGGGCTGAACATCACTGAGCTCGCT